CGCGGAGCAGCTGGGCCCGTGAGCCATGGCCGCTGAGCCTGTGCGTCCGGAGCCTGTGCTCCGCAACGGGAGAGGCTGCAGCAGTGAGAGGCCCACGTACCGCAAAAAAAAAAAAAAAAAAAAAAAAAGAGGTTCTGAAGACAGGTGGAGACATATGGGACTAGAGCTCAGGGAAAAAATTAGCATGAGAAAGAAATATAAATTTGATAAAATATAAAAACTATTATCTACTGTCTACCTTTACTAAGCTATAATGTTAATAACTTTCTTTTCCTTTAAGTCTTTTGGCCAATAGGAGATAAATCCAATTTTCTTCCCTACACCACTAGACCATAGTAGTTTTTGAATAATAAAGCAAATAATAATAATAGCTAATGGTTTTTGAGCACTTACTATATGCTAGGCACTGTTCCAGGTACTTTACATATATTGACCTATTTAATCCTCACCACCATTCTATAAGGTACAATCATTACCCCCTTTACAGATAAATACAGAGAGGTTCAGACAAATATCACATAGACAGTCAGAAGCAGAACCAAGATATGAACTCAAGCACTCTACGTCTCCTTAACTGCTATGCTAATTTCACATCTACCATATGACATCTTAGCAAATAATCACACTAAAATGGTTTAGGATTAAGTTCTCATTTATCGCACAGAGCAACTTGGAAAAGTTTTTAATGTACTTACTTGTAACGTATTTGTATCCCATACTTTCAGAGTTTTATCAAATGAGCTTGATGTGAACATGCCAGTGTCATGAGGATACCACTGTACAGTCTCCACACTATATTTGTGAACATCAGGATGGCTTCTACAAAACAGTAATCAAAATTTAGAGATAAATGATTTGAGTTTCAAAACTGATACTATATTCACGAGTAGCAGTCTCAGGAACGATCATATGAATGGCCAAACCTAGATCACATGCCATGTCCTAGCTGTCTAGAGAAAGAGAATATCTAGGCATCTCTAGTTTTAAGCTTTCACAGTATGATGTGGAGGGCTGCTTCCTACTAAGGCTCATAAAATGAGAGACTTCTGATTTCAATACTATATCCTGGAGGGATCAGCCAGCCACACTGGACCGCTTCATGGAGACAGTGATTTTTCCTTACTGGAAGAGATACCTATTCTGGTTTTGGATTTGCTTTTCCTGGCCATTATTTTCTCAACACCACCATTCTTAGAATTGTTGCCTCACATACTTCCGTGGTGTCCCACACAGTATTGCTTCTGATTAAGAACGCTACTTATACAACAAAAGAATGCAACTGGTAGATACCCATGAGATTCACTACTCTTATGTAACACATCACCCATAGAATCATGATCTGTTGAAGACTCAGTTATGACATCAGTTACAATATAGCACCTTGTGATGATGATGTGCTATCCTGAAGGATGCAGTATATGCTGTGAACCAGTGATCAACACAGTATGTGTCCTTTACTGAATCTTAATTGAAAGACACTGGCTGTTTAGGAACATTTAAGAGACAATGGTGGGACATTTGAACACCAACTGTATACTTAATATCAGGAATTATTATAGATGTGAGATAGTGGTAGTGGGGTTATGCTTATAAAACACCTTTTACCTTTTAGAGATACAAATAATTATGAATGAAATGATATCCTTCTGAGATCTGCTTCAAAATAATCCTCAGAGTAGCTGGGTAGGTTGGGGTAAAGATGAAACAAGACTGGTTATGACTGATAGCTGCTGAAGCTGGGTGATGGGTACACAGTTCATTATACTACTCTCTATTTTCATGTATGCTAGAAATTTTCAATAAGATAAAAGTAAACAGAAGACTACTGCAACCCTATGCAGATAGGGCCATCATGAGTTCTGATTCCTTAAGGTGAAGGTCTGGATCACAATACAGAATAAAGGGCCTTGACACATGTGGTGCTACCTGAAGACCTCAAGCTGGCCTTGAGACAGCTGCAAAAAAGGACTGTAGTACCTATTCATATTTCCTTACTTTCTATGTCATGTATATACGTATATATTTTAACTAATTTCCTCTTTCTTTCCTCTTTTTCTTACCTCCATTATTTTATATAGGTTAACTATACAATTGAGCCCACAGGTTGCATAATCCTGATAAAAGATCACGTAAAACCAGTGGAAAAATAGACATTATCCTGAACTGGAGATGGATGTGGTAAATAAACAGACTTAGGGTCATAGCTCTTCGGGGAAGGGGATAATTATATTTTTTTGTTAAATAATGGATACTTGCATTCGGTCAGGCTGAAACTTTTTTTTTAAAAGGAAGGGTAGGTATGGGAAGAAAGGTATATACTGATATTGGACAGCCAAATAGGTGGACTGTAGTGGACATGCGCCCTTTTCTTGGCTGAACATCCAAACTTCCTTTCGGGGGGAAATTCCCTTCGTTTTGTTGAAAGGCAGGGCCTTGCCTCTTGTTACATAAAGCAAGGGGCTCCAGATATTCTCTTTCCCTTGCCCTTGGCAGTGGGGGCATGAACATGTGTCCTGGGCTTCATCAATCCTGCCTGGGACTCTAAAACTCCAGCTAGTAATGCAAACCAAGGATAGTTAGCAATTATTCATAGCTGTGGTGTTGAGAATCTGTGTTTGTGACATGTAGCAGAACCCAAACTAAATTGTTCCTGTGGTGTGACCTTGACTGTGTTCTCTTGTCCTAGTTTCTCTTGCTTTTCTGCTCATTTTCTACATTTGATTCTTCCACCTTCCTGTCATTATGTGAGATATTAAATTTCTTTCCAATAAATTTCTGCTTAAGATAAACAGAACTGATTTCTATTTGTTCCTAAGGATCTACACAGAGATTTTCCAGTTTTAAATAAAATAAATCTTTAATGTAGTGATCACAAATAAAAGCTCACTTATATTTTAGATTTAAAACTAGGACAAAATATTGTATTATTCTCCTACTATGTATGATCTGTCATTCTCATTCACATTTAATAAAAATTTGGGTACAGGAATCTTTTTGGTGCTCAGAACAAACACATTAAGTAAAGCAAAAATAAATATCAGGAAACAGTCTAAGCCACATTAACTTAGTAACAATTTTTATTGAAATTACTTTTTAAAGTTAGATTATAAAGTCTTTGAACGTAAAATGCTACTTTAACTCATTTTGTAAAGATGCTTACTATATGCCCATTTACCAAAGTCATGGTTTTGAAGTTAAGAATTTGAATCTAAGAAGAATGTCATAATAAAGTAAGACTGATATCCTAAGCATTTACTTGACATCACACACCGGAAAAGCAAATCATAGCCACTCGTGGAATAACATTACATAGCAGGTGGTATATATAAAAATATTATTTTAACAGTGTTAAAATGATAGCTAAGATAAAATAAGACAAAGATGAATTTAATTAATGACTGTCTTACACTTTGGAATTTAGATTTTTTGTTTGTTTGTTTGGTGGGAGTGGAGGGAATATAAAATGGTGTAAGTCTCTTAGGAACCAAGTTCCAAAGTACCTGAAGTGGTATCTTGTTTTGTACCAAATGTACCTATAATTATATTGCTTCCTATTTATATGACGGCTTTACAATTTTTAATATGCTTTTTAAAAGACAGTATTTCATTTAAGTCTTACAGAAAACTTACAAGAATAATAGGGCAAGTATAATTATCTCTAAGACAAAATAGTTTTGTCAGAGGCTCAGAGAAATAGTTTCCTTAAATCTGTATTTCCAAAGTGAAGCACCAGAGCCAAGAAACATTCGTAAATCTCCTCACAAATATTCCATGAACTTATGCATCTATCTAGTGCTTTGGGAACAGCTTTAATACAGAGTGGTTGCTGATATGAATGTTCATGAAGTTTTTCCTCTTGAAAACATTTTTTCGACACCTATTCTCTCTGTTAATTCAAGGTCTCCTCAAAATCAGATCAAATACAGGAAATGAAAAAGAATTAAGTGATGATTATGAACAAATTAAAACAAAATCACAAAACACTTTATTAAAAACTTAAAAATAATTCTCACAAGATTGGAAAGCCAGTAAATAGTCAAAAAATTCAAGACAAAGAGAAGTATGTTAAGTTAGGCAGCGTTGAGTAAATAGAGAGGTAAGAAAGGGGTGTGTATGTGTGTGTGTGTGTGATTGTTAGTACATTTATGGCTTCTAGCTGCTAATCTTTTTGTTCTATTAATGATAGTTGAAAAATCTAATTTGTGTTTATATTTAGCTGGAAAGACTCAAATGAGTCTTATGCTAAGTAGTCTAAGAACTAAAATTAGTTACTGAGGTGTGCTATGTAGGTGGAGAACAAAAAGAACATAACCAAAAGTTTTTTCACGTTTTGCATTTGATGCAAAAAATAGTCAAATGTTTATAAATTCATGAATTACATTTTTAATACACACCTGCCAATGGAACACACTGCTTTACATGTGTAATAAGGTTGTCTGCTGGAGTTCTCAAGATCATAAAGCACCATCACACCATCTGAACCACCTGATAACATGCTAATAATAAAAAAAGTTCACATTATCATTTTATATAGTTCATTTATGACCAAGTATTTCTGAAAATCACTGACCTACAAACTCAAATTTATTATGCCCATAAATACAGAGTAAATCTTCATTAGTATAGGCTGAAATAAACTAAAATTTTTAATCTAATATTTGTGGAAGAATGAGTATAGAATGATTCAATCTGTGATCAGTTAAAATTTACCTTCATGATTCCAAAAAGAAAGGACAGTAGAAACAAGATGGCAAAAGATACTTCTTATATAAGGAAGTGAAATATTACAAAGTCATTTTAAATGGCCTAGTTATAAATGGAATCAGACATATCAGTTATTATTGATGCTAGCTATATGACCCTGGCAAGTTACTTCAGCTAAGGTTTTTCCTTTGTGAAAAGTGGGACATTTTCACCTAAATCATAAAGTTGATACAAAGATAAGTCATATGCAAAGGTCTTTTATACTGCCTGGCAAAAAATAGGGGATCTGTAAGTGTTAGATTTCTTCCCTCCATTATGAATGCATTTACTCAACTCATTCAATTTTGAGCTTCTGCAATATGCTAGGCGTTATGCCAATTCAACTATGAACAAGACAGGCATGATTCCTGACGCCCCAGTTTACAATCTAATAGGGAAAACACATAGATTTGTGAATTTAATTTATATATCTATATATGTAAATATTTATGCATCTATATAAAGTATTGCTATTTGTTAATATTACTGCTCACCATCAATTCTGGTGCTGTCTCTATTCATTCTTGTTCTGATTTTATTCTCTGGTAGATTCTTAAGAAAGGCCTAATGAGAACAATACTCCCTGAATTCTTGTATGTTACTAATAATTAGTCTCTTTGTACTTGAAAATTAGTCTGGTTGGATATAAAATCCTTGACTCACATTTTATTTCCTTGAACATCTTAGAAAAGAAACTTCATTTCTTTGATCAAAAAGCTCAAAATCAAAGTCTGGTTACAATATGATTCTCTTTCCCTTATATATAGTTTCAGATTTTATTCATTCTAGGAATGTTTCCTTGGAATATAGTTTTAGTCTTTACTCCATTCTGTTCCTTTGGGTTTCTTCTCTGGAAACTCTTATTATATGTATGTTAGATCTTCTTTGCCTATCTTCTACATACATCTGTATCTCAAATACTTTTCCTTTCTCCATTTCTTTTTGATTTTTAAATGTTTCCTCTTATATTTTATTTGCTTGTGTTCCTTATGCTTTAGTCTTAATTTCTGAAACTTTCTTTTCTAATTTTTTCTTGAGTTTGATCATCTCATTTTTCCATTTTTCTAATTCCTACTTATGTTACTCTTTCATACACTGTATCTTTTAAAAATGACTTTTAGGGACTTCCCTGGCAGTCCAGTGGTTAAGACTCCGTGCTTCCACTGCAGGAGGCACAGGTTTGATCCCTGATTGGGGAACTAAGATCCCACATGCCATGTGGTGCAGCCAAAAAAATAAAAAATAGAAATGACTTTCAGCTAGTTTTAAAATATTAGGTAGAGTTATCTATTTTGTGGGCATATCTTTCTGGCACAACTACACTGTCTAAAGGAACATTATTCTATTTATTCTCTTTGTTCTTAAAATAATTTTGTATGGGCTTTGATCTTAATCCTATTCTTTTGCTCATTTTTATGTAAAATTAATTTTCTTAAACTTTTAAAAGGGAGGCTTCGTTTATAACAATATTTAAAATTTATATCTCTAGAACATCCCTCTTCTTTTTCAAATAAGATGCTCAAAATATGGCAGCTAACTTTCAGAGATTTCCTGATTCTATTCACCTCCCCAATTTTTATCTGATCCATCTTTTTCCCTTGTTTCTTTCTATTGTCCCTGTACTGCTCACTTTGGATTCTATTCCAAACAGTTTCTCCTCAACGTAGGGTTCTGTCCATTAGGACATCTTTAGGTGATTAGCTGGAGAGATTATACGGCCTACAGTACTGCAGCCCCTTTGGGTCTTACTGTGAATCCCTTGAACAACTAGAGTACACAATCCTTTCCCAGTTTCAATGTTGTAGTCAAATTGGCTTGCTGAGCTTTCAACTAACTGTCAGTTATTTTGAGTTATCAGGTCTATTAGATGCCCCAGTGGTTTTTACTGCCTCCCCTGGTATAGATGCTGATACCACACTGATTTTGTAGTTATCAGTGTTTTGCTTCCATTCATCCATATTTTGTGGTTTGTGGAGATATTTGATCACTTATATTTGTTATGGGTGTTGTACATTGGTTTTTTATTTTGCCATCTTTAGTTTCTTTGCTATTTATAGTACAACATAAAGAGCTTGTGTCAGAAATGAACACACTTTTTTCTTCACTGAGATAGTCTTGCTACAAAAAAAAACATAGCTTATCTAAACTGTGTGCTTAGTGACTTGTACCACATTCTGGTACAAGTGCCTTATCTTGTTGTGAACCAGATACAAAGGGTTCATGAACTAGCAGCATGTCCAAGAAGCACTGATTTATAGACTTGTTTTAAGAAAAATTCAATATCAATTTGTAGGACAATTAGGTTAATTTAACAGTACTTCTTCAAAGTTCTTTGCTCAAATAGTTCTAAATCTAATTGATGATGGTGAAGTAAAGAAATACAGCAAGTAATGCCATGCTGAAGGTTTTTTTTTTAATACTCAGTGTTAGCTTCATTACAAAATTTTGTGGTTCAGTTACTCATTGTGTATACAGAGAAATCTTTGTAAATTTTAACAACTACAGCTTTTGTTTTGGTTGATAACATGTTGCAGCTTGTTTGAACACAGTTTTGAGTTACATGTGTACCATAACAATTCCAAAAACATTTTCTGCATATTTGTACTTTGTGAAATACTGTTTTTTACCATGGCATTGCATGTATTATCAATGTAAAAACAATTGTTTTCAAAGCTGAACTTTTAGACTTAATTTAAATTGTATTTACAATAACATAAGATGTTTCATCTTTGCTAGAATGACTTCCAAAAGCTTTCCTTTGATTACATTAATTGGGTGAAAAAAATTGAACATTATTGTAATTAACTGACTTTGTAGTTGAAGTATCTGATGGCAATGATGTTACCTAACTCTACGGTTATTACCCTGCTAATAAAGTGAACACAGTAAAAGACAGGACTTGACGTTTTTATGTGGACAAGAAAACTCGGTACCAAAGACGCATGGAATAAACTCAGAAGAATTTAGAAGACATAAAAGAAAATTCAAGCTTCACAGGATGATATACAAATGTACTTTATGTAGTTGCACTTGTTAAAATGTTTTCAGATAGACTTCTTCAATTAACTCCTAACTTTGGAAATAAATGCTTCTTTACAAGATTTATGTATTCTAGTTTTCATTCTGGTTTTCCGTGGTATCACTACAGCTCTCACAGTGGCTGGTAAATATTAACAAGTATTTTGAGCAAGTTACATGTGAATTGATTTTTCTGAGAAAAAGAAGACCTATATTTAATTTTCCATTAAACATTCATTTTGATTTTTATTTCTCTTTTCTGCCAAAAGGGTTTAATGCAAAATACAAGTCTTAGCAAACAATGAAATAAATAGTTGTAGATTTTTACTATGAAAAAGGGGGAAAAGGGGGAAACCACTGTAGTGAGAATCTTGACTTTTCTGTATATGCTCTGCAAAGACTCCTCAGTCTGTTATTTCTCACACATATTTAATGCACATGTAATCTATAACTTCCCGCATTTCTCACTAAGTCTCCCAACTGGTAGCCTGCTGGATTCATGTACTTTACAGGTCAAACAACTGATCACTACCCCAAATGACTGGCTGGAGTACTGAACATTTTTTTCTACCAGCCCCTAAGACCAAAAGAAATCAGCTATCCCTTGATGCTCATATCTGGATTATTTTATAAGCAAATTTAAACTTTTGTCCACTAGATGTCCTCAGCTAAGTTTAAGTTATCAGAATTTAACTTTTTAACCTGTCCTTAATTGGAGGGTGTTATGTTGAGCCTGGAAAAGGTCAGGAGGAAGAAAAGAATTATCACAGGTCATCTTTTAGATTTAACCATGTGTTAAAGTGAGCATTTGTTCACTGTACATGTTTCTCATATACTACTAGGTGAGACCATGACAGAGGCTGGAAATAAAAAACAGATTTCTATTAAACCTACTCTGGCTTATTTTAATGTAAATAATAATACTTCATTATAATATAAAAATTTGGGGGCAAATGCTAAACAGAACATGGTAAGACAAACTTTTCTTTAGTTACTTTTACACTTGTCTTAATTATAGACCACATGAAGGGTTTTGAACTTTCTTGTAAGAGTAATGTGGGGTAGATGGCACATTTTTCTATGCACTTCAGCTGTTGTATGGAAAATGGATTGAAAGGAGTAAAAGTATAGGTGATAATGCTTTTGATTAACAACAGTGGTGGCAACCATTTACAGTATGCCATGTCCTATGCTAATCATGTGATACATATTATCTCAATTAATCTTCACAACAAACTTGTTAGATTTTGTTCTTACATTGTGTAGCTAAGGGAACTGTGAATTAGAAAGGTTAGATAAATTGCTCAAGGCCACATAGCTGATGAATATGAAGCCAGGAGGAACTCAAACACAAGTCTGGTGTGCTTCAAACTTAATTTTCCAAAATATACTTCTGCTTTTTATATTTGTTTTCCCAGCAGGCTCCTTGAGAGTAACAACTCTGTTTTGAAATAGCAGCTAAAGACATACCTCAGCACTTACACACTCTCTGCATCCAAAAAAGTTCAGTATTAGTTGATTTAACAATGAATATATTTATATTAAAGTAGTTTGGAAATGTTTATTTGGCAACATTGCATAGGTTCAATGTTCTGTATTTATTTGAAATTAATAATGCCAGATTTAAAATGCTACAAATTTAGAATTTTTATTAATTTTTATGAAACTTCAGAAAATTAATCTGAAAGCAAGATTTTACTGGATCTCACTTAGGAACAAAAATGATTATATAATAAACTTACTATCTCCCTTCAACAGGGTCAATGTCAAGGGTGTTAACTCCACTGCCATGGATCCTTTCAACATCTCTGTCTTTGTTTAACTCCAGTCCCAAAACCCTGCAAAACATAAAAATTAAAAGGAGGAAAAGGAAAAATAAAATTAAACAATAAGAAAGTAATTTAACATTAAAATGTCCTTATTTCACCAAAATTACATGGAGTCAAAAATCACAAGTAATGCTTGTATCTCCTAACATACATCCAAAGGTATTTATAGATTAAAGACCTTATACAAATTTTTAAAATAACAAGAGTACTAACAGTTACATGTAAAGAATTTCTCCTGAAGCATTGTCTTATCTCTTATTTAAAGGGTATATTTTATTAATTTTTAATTTAGATAGCTAGAAACTGAAACAAATTTTCATGAACAAAAAGTTAAATTCTGATAACGTAAACTTAGCTGAGGACATCTAGTGGACAAAAGTTTAAATTACAGTTTAAAAAAAATTCCCTTGTTTCTTAAGCCTTATAGAAATATAAAACGAGCATGTTCAACTCAACAATTAAGCACATTTAAATAAATCAAATTAAATATAAATAAAAATGATTAACAAGTACTCTCACAAATTAAGACGAATGAAATTTCTGATATTCAATAACTGTAAACCATCATTATCCTGGTGAGGACGTCAAGATTAAATGAGTTGAAACATAAAAAGTGCTCATAACAATGCTCAGCATATAGTAAGTGCCTAGTGTTAACTATTAGAAGTTGTCTCAATCTTTTGGATGTCAAAAAGCATTTACATTAATTTAACCAAATGATCTCTAAATTCATTATTGATCAAAATAATGTTAATTTAAATAAGATTTTCCCCCAGTTTTACTGAGAAATAAATGAATACATATCATTGTATAAGTTTAAGGTATACAGCATGATGGCTTAATTTACTTATATTGTGAAATGATTACTACAATGGGTTCAGCTAACATCACCTCAAATAGATACAACAAAAAGAAAAAAAATTTTTCTCCTTGTGATGAGAATTCTTAGGATTTACTAACAACTTTCCTATATATCATACATCAGTGTTAACTATAGTCAATATGTTGTACATTACATCCCTAGTACTTATTTATCTTATAACTGGAATTTTGTACATTTTGACCACTTTCCTCCAACTCCTCCTGCTCCCACCCCCTCCCTCTGGTAACCACAAGTCTGATCTCTTTTTCTATGAGTGTTTTCTTTTAAGAGTCCACATATTTAAGTGAAATCATATAGTATTTGTCTTTCTCTGTCAGACTTATTTCCTTTAGCATAATGCCTTCAAGGTCCACCCATGTAGTTGCAAATGGTAGGATATCTTCACTTTTTGTAGCTAAATAATATTCATTCCATTGTAAATATATACCACAACTTCTTTATCCATTCATTCATATGTGAACATTTAGGTTTCCTTGTCATGGCTATTGTAAATAATGCTGCTATGAACACGGAGGTGCAGATATCTTTGTGAGTTATCGTTTTCATTTCCTTTGGATATATTCCCAGAAATGAAACTGCTAGATCATGTAGTAGTTCTATTTTTAATTTTTTGAGGATCCTCCATTCTGGTTTTCCACAGTGGCTGTACTAATTTACAAATCCCACCAACAGTGCACAAGGGTTTCATATTCTCCACATCCACTCCAGCATTTGTTATCTCTTGCCTTTTTGATAATAGACATTCTAACAGGTGTGAGGTGTTGTCTCACTGTTTTTGCACTTCCCTGATGACTAGTGATGCTGAACATCTTTTCACGTACCTGTCGGCCATTTGTATATCTTCTTTGGAAAAATGTCTATTCAGGTACTTTGCCCAGTTTTCAATTTTTTTTTTCTTTTTTTGATATTGAGTTGTATGAGTTCTTCATATGTTTTGGATATTAACCCCTTATTAGATAAATGGTTTGAAAATATTTTTTCCCATTCTGTAGGTTGTCTTTTCACTGTGTTGATGGTTTCTTTTGCTGTACAGAAGCTTTTTAGTTTGATGTAGTCTCACTTGTTTCTTTGTTTCTGATTTTTTTTGGTAAGAGTGCTTATTCCATGTTATATCACACTGTAGTTGGTAGGTATGCAGTAACCAAAACCCATCCTATATTGGAAAAAAAGCTGTTGAAATGGACAAAAGTTTCACATCATGGCGCTGGTGTTTATCCTACCGTTCACAGTTTGCTTTCCTTTGGCCTAAGATCCACCCCTCCCCACTCCTCCCCACCTTTGGAGTTCTTGTTTATTTTTGGTTTTGCTGCTTCTTCTTTAAGTGTCATATCCAAAAAATCATTACCAAGGCCATGTCAAAGAGCTTTATTCCTATGTTTTCTTCTAGGATTTTCATGGCTTCAGGACTTACATTTAAGTCTTTAATCCATTTCAAGTTAATTTTTGTGAGGGGTATAAAATAGGGGTCAAGTTTCATAAAATGAGAAGTTTTAACCTATCAAATTATCATAGTTTTCTTTTAAAAAATAACAATGCACAGTTCTAGGAAAGGTACACACTGATATTTTTATGCAGTGACAGTACTATTAATTCCCATAAACATTTTGGAAATCATTTTAACAGTAGCAAGTGTCTGATTTAAAGATATACAAGTTCCTCTTTTTCTCTTGGAAGACAGTTTAGCCTTAGGTTCAAATATCCAGTCTAACACTTACTACTTGTCTAACCCTGATCAATAATAAAAACAGCTAATATTAATTAAGAGCCTACTATTTGCTGACATTGTAATCACTTTATTAAGTGTAATAAATGGTAATCCTAAGTAGTAACTTTCCCAGTGGTAGATTACATTATTAAACACTTTGCCTGATGATAAAACTAAGACAGGGCTTCCCTGGTGGCTCAGTGGTTGAGAGTCCGCCTGCCGAAGCAGGGGACACGGGTTTGTGTCCCAGTCCGGGAAGATCCCACATGCCGCGGAGCGGCTAGGCCCATGAGCCATGGCCGTTGAGCCTGTGCGTCTGGAGCCTGTGCTCCGCAACGGGAGAGGCCACAACAGTGAGAGGCCCACATACCGCAAAAAAACAAAAACAAAAACAAAAACAAAAAAAACTAAGACATAAGTAATTTGCCCCAAATCACATAATTGGTTGAACTACATCTGAACTCTGACATTTTTTTCTCCAGACCATTATGCTCTTCTACCATTTCTAAACTTCAATATTTCACCAGAAAATAATATTTCACATTTTCTCCACTGAAATGCCTATTTCCTCTTAAAATATTTTTCCATCTGATGACTTTTCAAATTATAACAGTAATATTTGCGTCTTATAACAAGTAAAATAGTATCATAAAGACATGTACAAAGAGAATCATCCCTTCCTTGAGCTCCCTCTCCTAACAGTGAAAACATGGTCTCCATTATCATTAATATATTTATTTGATCAATCCCCCTGTATGTAACCAATCTCCCAACTCCACTACTACCCCGTCCTCCAACAAGGATGCTGCTGACCAGGCTTAGGCTTTGATCTCTGCTTCTCTCAGCACCCTGATCAGCTGAACTTGCCTGTCTCCACCTCTGGACTACCTCCTCAACCTGCTCAGCCAGTGAAATCTCACTTTCGGCCAACCTAATCCCTGCCTTATAGGTAGCCTACCTCTACCCAACCTAAATACTTTAGGTCTGAATTGTTTGGGAACCAGAAGGAGGGGTTAAGATGAAGGGAAAGGGGGAGGGTACTACAATAGGGAAACAGGGGTGGGGTTTGTGTGGAAGGAGGCAAGGTGTGCAAAAAATAGTTAAAATGGCAGGCCTGACACTGCTATCTTTAGAAAGGGCTGCTTGCAAGACTGGCCCTTACCTGCCTTCTGGGATTTCAGGAGGGTTCCCATCATTTCTGGATAAGAATGGCTCACTGTACCCAAACTAATATTTGGAGCAAACAATGGACATTATGAATACCTACATTCCTTCTGGGAGTCTGGAATTTTGGTACATGCTAAGCAGAAAGTGCCTATGTGGCCAGTTCTCAATTAAAAACTCCAGGCACTGAGTCTCTAATGAGCTTCCCTGATAGACAGCTTCACCTAAGCTGTCACAATTCATTGCTAAAGAAATGAAGCTTATCTGTGTGACTCCACTGAGAGCTTGTGCCTGGTTTCCTTCACAAGTCACCCATGTGCCTTTCCCTCCACTGATTTTACCTTGTATACTTCTGCTGTAATAAATCATAGCCATGAGTAATTTGGTACAACCGTATGCTGCATACTGAGTCCTTCCAGAGAATCCTCAAACCTGGGGGTGGTCTTGGGGACACCCCCCACACAAAAGCATAGAAGTAGAAGGAAGAGGGGTAGGGAGAATATGGGAGAAAAGAGGGAGGGGAGAAAGTGAAGGAGAGAGGGTGAAGGGGAAAGGAGTGAAAGAGAAGAGATATGGGAGAAGGCAGAGGAAACTGAGGTAAGCAGGGTAAGGAAAAGAGCGAGTCCTTTTAACTTTTTGTTTTAACGTGTTAAGATGGCTTAAAAAATTTATTATATCCTTTCATCTTCTTCAATGATGAAATACTTTCATTTTTATTTTTTTAGGCTATGACATTTAAAAAAATACATTTATTTATCTTCTTTATTTTATCTTTGGCTGTGTTGGGTCTTCGTTGCTATGTGCGGGCTTTCTCTAGTTGTGGCGAGCGGGGGCTACTCTTCGTTGTGGTGTGCGGGCTTCTCATTGCGGTGGCTTCTCCTGTTGTGGAGCACAGGCTCTAGGCATGTGGGCTTCAGTAGTTGTGGCATGCAGGCTCAGGACTTGTGGCTTGCGGGCTCTAGAGTGCAGGCTCAGTTGTGGCACACGGGCTTAGTTGCTCCATGGCATGTGGGATCTTCCCGGACCAGGGCTCGAACCCGTGTCCCCTGCCTTGGTAGGCAGATTCTTAACCACTGTGCCACCAGGGAAGCCCTGTAATTGCTAATTCTTTAAACATTGAATTAGAGGTGATGGTGATGTTCTCATTAATTAATTTACTTCCAATTTCTTTAGCTTATGATCAAAGAATATGACCTGTAAAGATGGCTACCTTTTTGAATTTGTTAAAGTTTTCTTAGTAGCCAAGTACATAAAAAT